TGTCAGCTGTTTGGGCCGGGTGGCGCGGCAGTGTCGGCTGTTTGGGCCGAGTGGCGCGGCAGTGTCAGCTGTTTGGGCCGAGTGGCGCGGCAGTGTCAGCTGTTTGGGCCGAGTGGCGCGGCAGTGTCAGCTGTTTGGGCCGAGTGGCGCGGCAGTGTCAGCTGTTTGGGCCGAGTGGCGCGGCAGTGTCAGGTGACAGTCGGGTAGGGAGTGGCAGCTCAGACTCATGACTGTCACGTCGTCACAGGCGTAGCTGCGTTTCAGATATGGCTGAGGGACAAAGCGACGGTCTGCCCAAAACCATTGCGTTTAGTGGTGAGTTGCAAGGGATGTTTGTTTTACGTCGACAAGTGGGGGACAAGCAGCCGTTTTGGAAGAACTGCGAATACATGTGTTCAATTCTTTCACCCCCAGTGGTTATACTCATGAGTGCATTACCTTACGGTACGTGAAACGTTACTTTGCGTGGATTTTTCAGATACGTCGAGTACGTACGGCTTTGCGGTCCGTAAAACCACTAGCCCCTCCGGCCAACTGATTGCCGTACGCTTTTTTATGAGTGCAGGCCACGCGGAGCAAACTCCGCCGACGAAATGTACCAAATCTAACGCCTTAAGCCCATTCACACCACTTAAAACCATTTAGCTTTGATTGTGACGTCATTGACGTCATTTTGCGGCCAAGTGTTTACTTTTTTTGCTTTTTCACTGTGACTTCATCGTGGGGCCCCACATTAGCTACCGATCGTCGAGTGTGTCAATGCGTGGGGCGCACTGAAGCAAAGGAAGTTCGGCCGGCGTTGGACAAGTGACGATTTGATTTCCTTGCTTCTGTTATGGGCATTTCGAGCTGCGGTTGGAGTTGGCATAATCAACTGGAATTATTCGTTCCATTCTTGCGTCAGCACAATCGGGGCACCGTTTTTGTAGGCAGCAGGTCCTTCAAGTGTATATGTCCTGCCACATTCCCGCCGTGGGATGTGCATGACAACACTTCCCGTGGCAGCGCGGGAGCATGGCATGTATAATATATATATATATATATATATATATATATATATATATATATATATATATCTCTCTCTCTCTGTGTGTGTGTGTGTGTGTGTGTGTGTGTGTGTGTGTGTGTGTGTGTGTGTGTGTTTTGCTTTGCGCAAGGTAAATTATCAGGCCATGAAATTACGTAGGCCGGGGAGACAATGGTTCCCATGGTATGAACGATTCTAAAACCCAGGAAAACGCCAAACTCTGGTGCCCGGCACCAAGGAGGTATCCCAAATCCCCTCAATGAGATATCCCCAGATCCCTCTGACATGCATATGCCTTTGCATACCGTCGAACCGCCTACCACCATCGTGTCTCTGCCGGCAGGTTGGTCGCGGTTTCCGTGCGACCAGTGTGGTCGGTCGTACAAGTACAAGGACTCTTTATACGCGCACAAGAAAATGCACCGCGGCCTGACCGTTTGCCGGTACTGCCAGAAAAACATGGGCACTGTCGGCGAGCTGAACAGGCACATCCGACAGAAGCATCCCGGCACGGCCGCCTACCTGACCCTGACGAAGTGATGGCAGGCAGCGCGGCGCCCGAGGGCGATGATGGTCATGATGTGGTGGCGTTTGCGGAAGAGACAGAAGCTTGCGGCGTCCGGCGGACTGGCGCGGTGCTCATCAAACACGAGGCTGGCTCCAGGAGAATTTGTGCTTAGGCTAGTTTGTTCTGACCTGACACGAGGCATGTTTTCAGGGCATGCGGCTGATAATTGAGCTGTGACGTCGATTTTTTACGCCCAAGAGTGCTGTGCGTGGCGAGTGTCAGTAAATATCTGTTTGTGAGTTCTCATGATATCCTGGCAGGTTTTTAAAATGTTCTCCGTGCACTTTGCTGCTGTGTCGCGTGCGTGTTATGCCCATCCGGATAGCTACGTTCTCACAACATTCGCTAATCGGGACTTTTTTACTTGCATCGAAAAGAAAGGCTACTTGACCTTTCAGTGCGGTGGGTGATGGATCTTTGCATCTGGGACTAAACAAACTTCTTGAAACTATTCACTACCACATGTGGTCCGCTCTTTCGTCCCTTGTGTTCAACTAATAGGTTTACGTTACGCCGTTACTTGGTAAGCGAACTATAAGCTGTTTGTGTGAGGCTGAACATGTAAATAACTATATATGCTGAGATTTGCAAGTGTTCTTGTGGACGATGCTGTGGATGACCGCCAGATGATCTTATGTTTAGCGTTGTCTGAGTTGAATGGCTGACTGCTAGATCTCGTCCCCCTCGTATGGGCTACTGGTTGCAAATAGTCACAGTCAAGATGTACTGGTACAAATTCACCACGATTTGAACCTGTTTTGAATATTTGGGCACCGTCGTAAGCGGTGAAAATGTTATTCTGGTTGACGTTCTAAATGTAACAACGAGTTCCCTTGATAGTGGTGTTTTTATTTCTGTTACGACATGTGTTTGACTTGCAGTTGCATCCTCGGTAACGGCGCTGTTCTAAGATATTCCATTATCAGTCTCATGTCGGTCATAACTAGGAGTATTATCCGAATGTCTGTGTTCTGTATCACAAAACCCGGTTCGTGATGGAGACATACAATCGGCGGCTTAAGTCGGGTTGTGAGCTACGTGCTCTCTGTCGATGCGGCAATTTGTGGTGATGGTCGTGACCTCTGAGGGCTAATCTGGCCAGCGCATGACCTCTGAGGGTTATATGGCCAGCGCATGACCTCTGAGGGTTATATGACCAGTGCATGACCTCTGAGGGTTATGTGACCAGTGCATGATCTCTGAGGGCTTATATGACCAGTGCATGATCTCTGAGGGCTAATATGGCCAGCGCATGATCTCTGAAGGCTTATATGACCAGTGCACTCCCTGGGGCTCCATAAAAGACTCGTGACGACGTGCGCCGCGCCCGCTTTTTGAAAGACTCCTGTTGATGTGCTCCAGACACGAATATTCCTTTGGCCACATTAATCGTGACATTAACACAATATGACGTTTAAGGCGTTGGGATTTGTGTGACGGCTGAATGTCGACAGGTATCTCTGGATGATTTTAAAAAAGGCAGCGTGGAAGAGGCTGCACAAGTGCGCTTGCGTGCAGATCAGATACAAGAGGATTTGAAGTCTTAAAAATGGCATTACTGTGGAGTGCGAGGAATCATCTCGAAAATGGCTAAGCGAGTTAAAAACCCCATAAGAATGTGGAACAGTCGCTTCAGTAATGCATACCACGTTCTGCAGATCGTGAACGCTGAAGGTTATTAGTTACACCATTTTTCCGGTGTCGTGGCGAAGATTTAACGCGTGAGTCCTTGCAAAGTACGGGTCTCGAGTGACTTCAGTTGGGTAGAATTCGCTTGCGGTGGAAGTTGTGAGACATGCATGACGGGAGCCTGGGCTCATACAGGCAAGTATCTGAACACAGCCATTTCCGCGACTGGTACGAATTTTGAAAATATTCTTTCTCGGGCGTCTTGCGCATCTGACATTTGAAAGCTTGAAGCATGGTGTCACTGTGTATACCTTAAGGCGGGCCTGAGGCCTTCGTTTGAAGGGAGCGTTCCACATTTGTACGAGGTTTTGAACTGAAATAGCCGTCTTATTGCCTGCCATCTAATAGCCTGCCCTTCGTAAGACCTAAACCCCTCTAGTTTCTGAGCTACGCGCCCGCAGAGCTGTTCAGGCTGTTTTGTGTTGACTGTTTCAAGGTCATCCAGGCATCCATGATATCATTGTAACGTCATTCAAATCTTGCCATTTCATTCGTCATGGGGCGATCAAGGTCAAGAAAATATAAATGTCGGGTCGTTCATATCTGGCATTCGTGAGCACAATGTCCAGATATAACGGCTGTCAATTGGCTTTCCATCCATGGTGTGCAAGTTACGATGACTCAATGAAGCAATGACGCGTTGAGCTGTATATCTACTCAGGAGAGAAATTGTGTTGTCTAGGGCAGTCTTCTCCGATTAAAAGTATATCGATAGTTACAAGTGAGCTCATTTCATCATGTCTTATGCTTGCTTCAACGTCCTCGAATTTGCAACGTTCCCTTCGATGCCAAGCCAGGTTAGTAGTGATCATCGAAAGAACCACGTCAGAGGTTTCAAAATTACCGGTTAGGCTCCCAATGATTATTCGGAAGTGATCCCTTTGGCTTGAGGCATCCGTCTACTCAGAGAACACAACCCTATCCCACAATTGCGTTATGTGAGTTTCTTTTACTCCTCCCGAAATTTGCTGTGCGCTGTCGTAAGTAGGTTGGTTGTGTTAACCACACCGAAAAACGGTAAACTAGAGCTATGGAGCTTTTGTTAGAGCAGCTTGTGCTCTGCAGGATAATAAGATAAATAACAAGTGTTCGAACAACGGGGAACTGTTCATTTACTGTGTATATCGGCGTGATTTTCCATCCTGAAGGATTTCTTTCTTTTGTGTTATTGTATTAACCCGATAGCGAATCAATGTGCTTTATTGTGCCGTGCCTCCCCCATATCCGGCCGTTTCCAAGTGGTGCCTGGCGATACGTGAGCCTTAGCCGGTACCGCATCTAGGGTTTTAAGGGAGATTTAAAAGTCCTTCCCTCAGAGATTTCATACAGGTTATGGATCTAGTTGGCACCACATTCGTTGCCAGAGCGAGCGAGACTAAAAGGAACGCTAGGCGAAACGCCAAGGGACATGATGATGCAGTGTGCTGGTAGACCGTCTTAAATAGCATGGAAATTGTACGATGTGATATGTGCCGAAAGCATACTAGAACGGCTCCCGAATAAATGCGAACGGACAGCGCCTGAAGGTGTTGACGTTGAATGAACAAGGGCACAGAGTCCGCTATCGGGCGCATCTTTCAAGTCTTAAACAGCCGAGGGATGGAACGGGCATTGGACCGTGTCATGGTGTGCTATAATGGGGCCCATTGCGACAATGGAATGCAATGGAATGCTGTGGCTGCGTATTCAAACGTGATGGCACACTGTTGGCCCCACATGTCGACAGTGTTGGGTCAGTCGTTTTTGTCGCTTGTCTCCTGTCAGGTGTAATTAGTTGTTTGAAGACCGTGGCCAAGGAGATTGTTGTCAGCTTTGACGAAGTGCGTAGGCAAAACAAAACTCAGCATAGGCAAATAGCAGGCGACATGTTTGGCTGCTGTTTCAAATGCGGCCGGTTGGGATGGCCTTACCTGCTCATGACGCGGGACCGCACCTCCGTTGGAGCAGGCGCTCTTTACGCTGTTCGCGTGTGTGTGACGCTACTATTGTGTGAAAGAAGGCATAACATTCCGCTGAGGAAATACATCGAAGCACTTGAATACGGTAGTCACTGCCCGGTACATGGCACGGATCTCAGAGATACATGGACAACTCGGCTGGTTCGAAACACGTGAACACAGAACGGTGTTCTCGCGTGGCTAGAGAGCTTCAGCACCGCACTCCCTCGTCGCTGAGGGTGGTGAGTGCAAATGACTGCGCTGCGTCCTCCAGCAGCAACCACCCTGATGGGTGGCTGCGCAGGAACGCCGCAACGCGCTCACTGCGGACCTGGCCGCCCCTCCCCGTCAGACCTCGCGCCAAAGGCGCTCTAGTTCGCAAGGTTTAGTCAGGCGTTATACAGGCGAGATGCCAAGCAGACCACGGCTTTCCATGCTCTCCCGGTTGGTGAGAGCACGTGCACGCGTGCTCGTTGTTGTGGCGGTTTCAAGCCATAAGACATGCAGGTGGTTTGGCCGGTCTTGAACTTTCAGTGTGCGAGATGTGGCGTCGGACCGCAGGCACCCTCTTTCCAAAATAATTACTGTCGCGGACTGGTGCGACCCCACGTCTGATGTGTGCGGATGTCTTCACTTTCCGACGTGCGTTGTCATCGCCTCTCCTGTTTTCAGACTCCGAGAGGAACGCGTGTCTTATCTGTGGCAACGAGTACAGGCACCGAGAGTCTCTGCGCAGCCACATCAAGAAGCACCAGGGCCTGACGACGTGCCCGAAGTGTGGCACCGTCTGCGGCACCGTCAAGGCTCTGCGACGGCATCTGGGGCATATGCACTCGCTCAGTGTCCAAGAGGTCCGCCAGATTGTGCCGACCAGAGGCAGGGCCGTAGGGCTGCGGTATCCTTTCACCTGAATGGGATGAAGATCTTCTTATCATCTTCCAGGACGCTCGGACATCGATGTGCGCGTGTCGTGGGGCCATGGCGGTTGTCTTGTGTCCCCTGACCGTGTGCGCGCGGAACGTCCCAACACATCGCCCGCGCGTTGTGAAACAATACATGCATTCCTCCATGTCCTCTGCTGTTCATGCACTGCTGTGCTAGATGCTGTTTTCTGCTGTTGCACCAGTTGCCGTCGAGACAAGACCACTTCGGCAACCACCAGCCGGGTTGAATGCGGCTATCCCTGCCCTGTGACATTTGGGGGTGAAATGGCATTGCGGCGTGTGAAATCCCGGTCCCGTTGCGCGTCTTATTGGCACCGTTCTCTCTTGCAAGACAGCCAAGACGTTGGGTCATCACGAAGTGATCCGCCATGCGTCTTTTCGCTGCCTTCAGTGGCTCCCCGTGCGGGCCTGCAAGGTTAGCGTGATGCCGGACGGGGCCGGACGCCGGACGTCAAAACTTGCATGACTTGAAGAAATCTCCGGCAAGCGAGCGGTCATGCCTAGGGCTCGGCTTAAAAAAACAGCATCGGTTAGCTTATACTTGTGCATTGGACGTCACGTGCAGAGGACAAGACAATCGCTTGAATAGCGCCGGTTGATCCGCTGTGGAAGATGGGGAGCAACAGAAGACGCACGTCCCAAGCGTACCGGACGGAGGCCCGCAGGAAGCATGCCTGAGCTGGTCGACTCTCTCCTTTGGTTCGCTGCCCCGAGGTAAACACCGATATCCGTGATGTACGAAGCGATCAGACAAGGCCCTTGGCGGACGTCCAGCCGGCGCCATCAAAAGGTGGTTGTGGACGGCCATTGTCCAATGAAGTCAGGAGTTTTGGCTCCCATTGTCCCGCAGCCGATGGCGTGTGTGATTGAATAAGTAGAGGAGGAAAGCCCACGCCGTAGTCAAAAGCCTGCGGCGTACGGCACTTCGTCGCAGCACCTACAGTTCTTTCTTAACGTGCCGCTACTCTTCTGTTAAATGTCTAGTTGCTGTCAGGGTTGCGCTCACTGGATTAGAGCAGATTGTGGCCACTTTCCTGTGCGTTCCACCAGATTTGCGGTGGTCAAACCAAGACAAGAACCAATATTTATCCTGTTATCTCGTGCTCCCTTCAAAATATCATGGTTGCATCTCCTGTTATGCGTAATCGTCTTGAGCCATCGCCTGGAATTCCAACAACGGAGAGATCATATAGTCTATCCACAGCGGGTATCGTGTAAGTGTACGTTTACTATCTATTGTTATTGCTGGTACTATTATTATTTATTGTGATCGTGTACGCGACACACCATCCGCATGTCAAGATGCGTGGCCAGTTGTATTATTCTGGTGGAAAATTGCCACCTATTGTGCGAAGAGCTTCAAACTGAACTCATCGGAATCTGAGACGTAAAACAGTGCTTCAGTATTAGGAAGTCAAACGACAAGATCAGATAAAGTATGCACTTAGATCAAGTATGCACAAAAGCGACATTGAAAAAACCATGTAGTATTAGCGTATCGCGTGAACTCGTTCTGGTAGTATGTGTAACGCATATTCCTATGACGAGGATAATTCGACATCACTTATTCAGTTATTTTTAGCAACACCATGTTAAATTCCTCAGTGTTTCCCACATGTGCACAAGTTATGATGAGCTAAGGGCACCGAAAGACAAGAGCAGCCCAAATCCGTGATTACCGAGGTTAGATGGACAGTAAGTTGGTGGCATCCTTGGAAGTCCCTAGCCGTGCTTATCGTCTCAGATGTAGGGCGTTATGCTTACACCAGCACCAACTTAGCACAAGAAAGAATCGTTTGCTGCGGATGCCAGTGCTCGGAGATTTTCATCTGCAGGGTGAGAAACAGGGGGAAGATCCAGGGAGGGGGGCGGGGAGAGAAGTGTGAGTCTGTATCGTGCCTGAATTTTGTGAACAGGTATTACATGGAAGGATCATGCAAAATATTCCCGCCTGGCCCTGTTTTGAATGACATAAGTCCAGGGATCATCGTCCACCTTGAGCAGGGCCTGCCACGTGAGCCGTAGTCCAGCATCCGATCATAAAACCCTTAGTCAATGGCAGAATTTTCCGGCGGAAGATAGGCTTGCCACGATACTTAACACGCTTTGTCAATTTGCATGTGTTAAGCGTTCTGGATGGCTTGTGTGCCGTCTGCTTGCTTTTCTAATCCAGGTGGAAAAGAACTGGTGGAAGCATTTGGGGCAGTGTAATTCAAAGGAGCAGTTAGCCGTGAATGGACAAAGTTAAACCTTTGGTTGAAATGACGATGAATTACTCGTGCCACCCGAGGTGAAATCCCGCCTACTTCAGTTCACCAGGTCTTCGCGAAAATTGTAGGGACCACAGGGCATGAACCACAACGCGGACTAAGGCACAGCAGCACTCGGCAATGGATGCATCAGAGCGATGCCCCTTGTTTGTGTAGCAACGCTATAAATTGTACTTTTACTCTTGAACCGGTCCCTCACATATACCCTTTTGTGTCATGCAGGGTAATATGCTTAAGATGGAAGGAATTGAATATCCTCTCTGCACCCATGATCCATCCGCACACGAGGCTCTGGGAGATACAGTGCTGCGCGTCACCGCCACTGTGACGTCATGAGTCATACCAAAGTGACGTCATGCGTGCGCTGAGCACAGCGCTGTTCCGTTCATGCTCCGTTTGGCACCGTTCGTGTGCTGTACGACTCGGCGCACGTCTGATCCTGGTCAGTAGTCCTGACATCACGGCAACACCATTGCTGCTCCCCCAGGGTGGCAGCCACTTGAGGCTTCGTGACCGACGTTTGACGTCACGGCTGACGTCTTCGACTGCGCAATGTCACGAGCCATTTGTTTTCAGACCCTGAGCGGAACGTGTGTCACATTTGCGGCAAGGAATATAAGCACGTCTGGTCACTGACAGACCACGTCAAGAAGCACCGCGGCATGACCACGTGCCCCATGTGCGGCAAGGTCGGCAGCACGGTCAAAGCGCTACGGCGACATCTGCAGCTGGTGCACTCGCTGAGTCGGGAGGCCGTGCACCAGATCGTGCCCACCAGACGCTACGTGTCGTACGCGACCGCACTAGCCCGGCCAGACCACTCGCGTGCCAAGGAGCCGGGCGTGTAG